CTCCTCGTTGTTCGACCGATGTATCCCGCTCCACAGGAGCAAGTAAAGGAGTGCCGTTTTACGACTGATTATCAATCTGTCGCAAATTCTGGAAGTTCGCATTAAATACCGGCCGTACTATTTCATCGATCCCCATTACACTGTTGACTACGACCAGGACTGACGGCATGCAACAGTGACGGCTAAAATGCTCCGCTAGTGAACATCTGCTCAGATTACAATACTTCACCTCATTGAGCACACACTTGTCAACTATTAGGAGAAGAAGCATCCGCCTAATACTTTCCGCGTTCAGGGTTACAATGAAATTGAAGGCCAGCGATCAGATTACATTGGTGGTTGGTGTCTCAGTGCATTCGGAGACATCAGATGATTTCTAGACGTCGGGTTTTACAGCTATAAGGACAATGACGACTCTGCGCCCAATAAGGTTAACTCACCAGCAGTACATTGATCGTTACTATGTCTATGGCGAGGTCAAATATTGCCGCATATATAGCACCGTCTACTTCCTCAACCATCATGATCTGATGAAAAAAACCAAGACGACGGAAAGCAGCAGGGGCGCAGTCTTCGACAAAAGTAAACAGCAAATATAAGTGACAATGCGACTCCCAGGAAGTAATTGAGAAGAACCAGATGTAGTCGCTGGAACAGGAATTTTATTCCCCTGACGTTTCGATATCCGTCGCGGATTCATCACCAGAGACTATAGCAGAGACGGGAAATTCATATACAGGGAGATGCAGTATTTAAAGGATATACGCAGAGCAATCACCATACTCAAATTCAGTACGGCTGAGGAAAGTTTAGTAGGGCACAACTCGCACGCCGGACATCAGGCAATTAGCACAGAAGCGGACAACTATCCTCGATAGAGGGGAGCCGTTAATTGTCATAGGTATGCAGTAGCATAGCGACTATATACTAGAAAATCTGCAACTCCTTATGTTTTCATTACCTGTTGTCTCTGATGATGGAGCTGCGACGGATTTCGAAACTTCAGGCAAATAAAGTTCTCATCGCAGGAATCAACTCCGCTTCTTTACAAAAGTAAACAGCCCGTATACGCGTGCCGCACAAGACCTGGTTCTCGCAAAATATGCAGCAGTCTACGATAAGGGCAGCCTGGATCTCGCATCTGTGAAAATACATTAAAGGCCACATAAGGAAGGTGACATTGTAGCCTGCCTCTTAGCTCTCAGAAGGATCGAGTTATCCTGTCAGGACTCTTACCGCTTCCTGGCAGGGTTAAGTGGGTCATTCTTCCCGTGAGAATATATACCTCAGTGTCGACTTCGCTTACCCTTTCATCTACCACGCACTAGCCGATTCACTGAGCCTGTCAAACAAGCCGCCATGAGATTACCTGCAGCGACTGGTCGTCTGTTTATGCTTACCACACCAGACCTGTTCCTGGTTCCAGGTGTACCAGGCTACAATAAAGGACACTTCCCACATGCAGATGAGATGTGCATTTTTCGGCATGTAAGATTTTGCCCACCATATCGACGCTGGCAAAGTGAGTCGCGTGTTTGCTACCGGAGAGAGGTAGGATGTGTGAACCCGTAAAGAAGCCACTTAGGTAGACGTTCACCATTCATCCTTGCGTTTATGAAGTCCAATTGAAATTGCACCTACGCCTGCACGGCCAGGATATTGAGGACATCGGATAGTTCCATGAGCTCATGATCAGGGATCTCAACAAACTCCTTCCGTTCACTTTTTCTGGAGAGAGTTAGTGTGAAAATGACTAAAAATTCATATTTGAATTTTGTAAAATACCCACGTATACCTCAGTACAGTAACCTTGTCTGGACAAAAATTATGTCCATTCTTAGCTTTGCTTTGAGGTGGAGGTCCCGGCGGTTTCAGTTGGACTTTCGTGAGTCAGCTGAATACTTAGCTGACTCTGGGGACCTGACTGACCATTCTTTCATATATCTATATTTCTTTCTTGATATCATGCTCCCAAAGCAAGCAACTGCGTCCGCTGACGCAAGGCCAATTCTGCTGCCTTTGATCCTGCATTCGTTGTAGCCCTAACTTGACTTCGGTTTACGTGTGTCTACTGCCTTTTCCACCCTGTTTTTCAGTCCAACTTGGGAGCAGACAGATGTAAAATGTGTCAGACACCGCTGCATGCTCTCCTCCGTTATGGCGCTTGGCGCAGTAATCCGCGGACGAGGGTTCGTGGAAACTGGCTTTGGAGATTCTCGAAAATATATTTGTGAATCCATACCGAGCATACACACCCCGTATTACGGTTCGATCGTCGTCACCGTCGTCCTCTCCTTCGCTCTATGGGTACAGGGATGGTGTCTTGCGCTTGAATTAGTTTATAGTTATAAAGGACTTGCG